AAAAAAGAAAAAAAGAAGGGGGAAAAAAGGAAAAAAAAAAAAGAAGAGACAAAAGAAGAAAATCGTCGTGAACCGCGTCATTTGGTTTATCAATGACAACGAACGAGCCGAGGGTAATCTTTCGTTTTCTTCCATTAGCTTCGCGAGGCTATTTATATGTATATGTATAACGTACGCATGTGTATGAATGTAACACTTTCGTGTCGTTATGTTTGATTTACATTCTCGAAGGCGAATGTTTTACTATTGTATTCTCATCGTGTGTAAGATCGTCGTGTTGTCAACCTTAACTTTATATGTATATTTAGCGAGGTGTTTTTTAGTAAGGGTGAGAAACGACGGTTCCCGCGTTTCTCGCGTGCGAGGTTCTCATCGATGTTTGACCGATCGCAAGCGCGCAATGTTTTCAAGTTTTTATACGCGATAACCCCTCGATTTTAAGGGATGGGGGATACATTTCCGTCGTCGTACGATGGAGATATAATTCTATATAATACGTGCAACACCGCAAGCGCGCATTGTTCGTTCAAACGTATGTACGTACATATGTATGTACATCGCTGCTCAGGAGTTTGGAGCCTTCCTTTGATTCTTTCGGATGAAATAAATTTCTTTCTCCTCTTTCTCGCACACTAGGAGCACATTTTTCTTTGTCATTTCATCTGGGGAAGTAAGAACATCGCGATTACGATTACACTCGATACTAAATACTTCAGTAGTTTTAAAATGACAGTATCTTAAAAGTAAACTTAAAATAATTGTTTACTCGAGGATTATTGTTTCGTTAGCTTCCTTTCAATATGCTCGAAAACATTTGAGCGTAAATGTACATGTTACATCGTGTAAACGCTGTTCTTCGCGACAAAACTTTCGTACTTTGGTTCGTTCGATAATGATTGTTCACGTTTCTGATATTTTCATTCACGCAACAAACACTTTATGTAAACGTTAACCCTTTATAATATCGTGTAACTTGAAAGTTACATATCCGTGTGTCTACATTTTGAAAATTTTACTTTGCCGGTTTATCGTAAATGTTAAACAAGCGATTAATTCATGAAAATTAATAGTTATCAGATTTTTAATTGAAGAAAAAATATAGCACCTGGTTATTGAATTAGGACTACATTAAGATTCTCTACTACATGTTTGAATGAAATTTGATTACAAATTTAATGATTAATAAAACAGTATTAAAAGTGTTACACTTGTTATTTTAGTTATTATTGTATCTTATTATAATATATTATTATATTTTATTATATATTATAAGACAACACTGAGTACTTGTTTATGCTGCAAAGGATAAAAAAGTGAAAGAATGTTTCATTTGCATCTCAAAAAATGTGTATTACTTGTATTATGAAGAGAAAAAACAGACATAGATAAAGTAGTATGTACGAAGTATACAGGAAATAGTACATACATACATATATGCTATGATAGTATATACATACATATATGCTATTTTGATTCTAAATATTAAATTCCAAATTCAAAATTTAATTATTTAAGTATTTAATTTTTATTAAACATTATTTAAATGTGAAATTAAAAAGACATGCTTTGAATATCTGTTGGAAAATATCTGTTGGAATTTGTTCAGGATTATGGAAACTAGAAGGAATTTTGATAATCAGTAGACAATGCTCACAGCTATACCTTATCTCACAGAGTGGAGGGCAAAGAATAGCTGAGTCCCTTTATTAAATCTGAGTACATCCATAGATGTCGCTATGGTACAATAAGGAGGTGATTGTACTTTCCAACAATATCTAATAAGATTCTTTTAATAAATAAACAAAATTTGATAAATTTTAATAATTATTAATCAATTTAATGAACAAAATATTTTAAACAATTTTAAATAATTCTAAACAATGATCCTGAGTTTCAAATATTTCTAATAATTAATCAAATTTTATTAAATTATCGGTCGAACTTTTCGACTTCATCGAAACCACTTCTGTTAAAATTATAAAATGTACGAGTGGTCCTAATTCAATGGCCGAGAGATGTAGCTAATAAATAATTAACTAATAAGTTAACCAAATATTCGGATATAAAAAAAATATTGTACCTCTCTGTTTCTCTCTCTCTCTCTCTCTCTCTTATAAATAAACCAAACATTCGTTTATAAAGGGTTAACGAATCTCGTCTATATAACCTAGAGATAAAAGAAGTGCTGCGGGCGATAACCTGCTAAGCGAACTCATCGGTCATCGTGGCCTTCGCCCGGAACTTCTACTTAACGTTTTCACCAGTGCTAAAACCTGGCGTTTTGCCGACGAAACAAAGTGAAAAAGAAC